GTATGAAGGCCGGGACCTGGACGCGATACTTGAGGTTCATCAGGGACAGGGAGGAATTCCTGTCACGCGCCAACATGCTTTCTATTAATAATAAAAGCTTTCTATTCTATTAAAAAGAATAGCTTTCTATTCTATTATTATCTTTCTGTTTCTTCATTAAAATAGTAAAAATTTATAATGACGCCCCAGGGCATTTCTAAAGCCATGGCCAACATCATGCGCCATGCGTATTGCGTAGGTCATGTAAGTGTGTTCCAACATTACAGGAATCACGTGACCATAATTTTAGATGAAGAAAAAAAAGATAACTTATTTATTTAAAGTTTAATTCAAAGTTAAAAATTCAAAAAAACGTTTAAAATTGAATATTTAAAACGAAGTATAATTTTACTACAAATACGATTAGTTGTGTCGATGAAAAAAAAATTAAAGAGACAGAAGAAGTGTGGATGAAAAAAAATAAAGGAAGAAAATAAAGAATGGAAGAACATGGAAATATGGAGATACAACTTCTATGATGAAATTAAATCATAATGATTTACCCAATGCAAGAAATTATCCATCAATAATTCTAAATAGGTACTTCTATTAGTTTTGTACCGACCGAAGCTACCAGAAGCGCCATTTGTTGGTCATTTTTCATTTGTTTATTTACGGCTAGCTCGGCGGGCCTGCGGTGAAGTCAAACAACACAAGAACACGTGGTAAATCGACTGTGACAAAAAAAATGCAATATTTCGCTGCACCACAAACAAATAAATGTAAATAATTAGTAATGGAAAATATGTTGCTGGAAGATTTTGAGAGACTGTCCCTAAGCAGAATAATATTTTGTTATTATTATAGTAAATATACTAAACAATAAAGTAGTTCCTTAAATTGCCACTGCTGGCGCTAGCATCTGGATGTGGACGCATCAACTTTGTTTAGAATTCAAACGATTTAATATCTATTTCTTACTGCACCACAAGTTATTACATTTAAATAATTAGTAATGAAAATATGTTGCTGGAACACTTTTAGAGACCGGACCTAAACAGAATACGATATTATTATATTATTAGTCAAGATACTAAACAATAAAGTAGTTCATTTGATTGCCGCTGCTAGCACTGGCATCTGTATGTGAACCTTCTATGGGTAATTTTAATTCAGCATGGAATTATGGAGATACAACTTCTATGATTAATTTGAATCATAAACATTTACCTAATGCAAGAAATTAGCAATCAATAATTCAAGGTTATTGTGAGTTTTGTACCAACGGAAGACTACATTAAATACGTATTGGCAACTTATGCTAAAAAAATGCCTGCAACTGCAATCAGCTGCGACAGAAGGTGCCAGAAAGCGCGATCAATTCATTGGTCATTTTTGATTTGAAATCGGTTTCAGTTCTTTGGACTAGGAGCATAAATTTTAGTCTAAAACCTATTAATAGTTTACGTTTCCGTGTGGATTTTGATGCTGTTAACATTGAAATACTTGAAAGTATCTCTGATGCAAGAAATACTGGCTAAATACATTTTAATTTAGAAATTAACGTCAATTGAAATTACTGTTGTTGGGGGCTATCTTGGTTCTTGCAAAATGATTTTTGTATCCAGTCGCTTATATTGAAAATAAAATTGTTTAAGCAAGTATTTCTTGCATCAGAGATAATTCAAAGTTTGTTAATGTTAACAGCATTATAATCAATGCAGAAACATACATTTTTTATATAGATATTAAAAATTTAGGCTCTTTATGACTAGTATACTATGCGTATAGGATTTCAAATCGATGCATGCGTTCAAATTCAAATAAGGCCCGCTCACGGCCAGTGTAGCTATGAGCTCACCTTTCTTCAGAAGTATGAAAGCTTTTGCCGGGGAAGGTGTGTTACCGCGGTGCGGTGATTGGCCCGTAAAGAAGCGTTGATCAGTTCAAAATGACATAAGACCAGGTTCTTTTGAATAACCTATAGAATTGCACCATGTGACGCCAACCATTTTCAAGATGCCTTGCCAGGTATTTTTTAATGAAAAGCCATTCATGCTGAGTAATGAAAAACTATTTACAAGCCACGAACTTATTTACAAGGTTGTATGCACGTGTTACCCCAAATAACTAATTTTACCCTAAAAACAGTCTGATTGTACAGCAATTGTCAACTGAACATGTGATGATGCAGTCTGACCGCTCTAATGTGACCACAACTATGATTTTGTTTACATTTTTTGGCGGGAACTCATTGCAACCAATTTCCGGACAAGCTTTACTGCTTCCTGATCCATCCAACGTACCGGAAACCTTACTTTTTTCTAAATAGTTGGCCGAAGACTGACAAATATATTAAATGCAAGAATTTCAATCTAAATGTGTCAGAAAGATCTTCTGAAGTCGTAAATTTTGCTACTGAAGCATTGCCAAAGATCTTGCAATATTCATCCGCTCTCTGCACAGTGGAATAGTGATGAACTGTTTGTGTAGAAAGAATATTATGGTTTGAGACTTCTAAATACGTCTGTGACTATATTAGGAATCCTTTAAGTATACGGTACTTGTATTTGCAGATTTCAAATGATAAAAAAATTAATAGATGATTAAGTTAAGAGACAGTTTTAGACACATAAAAACTAATTCTGACACAGCTTGGAATTAGACACACACAGCTCATTCCAAGCTGTGTGCAAAAATTAAAATTTTCTTGATTAAAAGCTTAATAGCTCTTAATTAAAAGCCTAATTAAGTAGTGTTCAATATATTCAATAGTGTTCTAATTCCAAGCTGTGTCATATTCCAATACAGTTCACACAGTGATTGGAATTCGAAAACAAGAGTGTCGGCATTACAAATTAGTAGAGTTTGAAGCGTGCCCGGAATTAGTCTCCCAAAATGCCAAATTTAGTCACATACAGCGTCGGAATATACGGATTTGGTAGGTTTGCATTCTAAAGGCTTTTAAATAAATATGGCAACATTTTGTGACATTTCATTGTTGCTGGAGCATAGTGCGGTGTTTTGAGAGTGACGTAAAGCAAACAGAACTCAAGTTGCGCGTATGGTGTATTTTTTATAGCCATTCATTTTTTGCTACGTCCTCAAAATATCGGAATATACCGCGTTTACCCTAGGTTTTATGGATACAGATTGAAATCAAAGCTTAAATTACAATAACAGTTTCAATGTCCTGACAAATCTGGTAGTTTGTAAATTACTGGTTGGAGACTCCTGCTTGATGATGAGAGCCTCAGCTATGGCCAGTCTTGTGGCGTCTGGGCATCTCATGACGATTGTGGTGTGGGTCTCCAATGTCACGCGAGTGAGGGTCTCATTATGAGCCTCTCTGATGTGGTTCTTTGGTCCTCCGGTCTGGAGGTGGCATGTTAGGCGGCGGCTCAAAGTTTGACCAGCACGACTTGAGCCAAAGTATTGCAGTAGTTGAAAATTTTATGAAATGACATGTTTGTGGAGTGCAAATCACTATTTTTTCAATCAAACAAAAATACATGACATTACAGCTGCAAGACTTTATACCTACTGAAATTATATGATATTAGAGCTGCGATATTTAAAAAAATAGGATTTCTCCAGAGCCCTGCTATGCCAATAAACAAAATAGGCTGTGGACCATCTTCCTAAAATAGTTTAAACATGGTTGAATGGCAGGGTGGAATTCTAAGAATGGAAGTTCACTTATAAAATTTCCACCCAAGGTGGAAAGCTTCCCTTAGATAGGTACAGCACTCTGTCAGGTGACTGACTACAAAGGGAAAGGAGAATCAAAAGTGGACAAACTGTTTCAATTGTATAGTACCTCAGATTTGTTATAGATTTTTTTAGTTGTATTTTGCTTGATTGATATTTTTTTATTTTTCTTTTATATAATGGATTTCTTGAGAATATGCCAGGCCCTTTGTTTGTAATAATTAAGTTAAGTTAGCTTATATGTTAAGTTAATCAGCACACATACCATATTTGGGCACAATCAATCACAGCTAGAAAGGATGACATGACAATCTCACCAACTAATCACAGCTGGAAAGGGTATGACATCACAATCTCACCAACCAATCACAGCTGGAAAGGGATATCATCAATGGATATGTATATAATTGACTAATTCCTTATCTTTCCAAGCTTTCAGGTCCTGCTTTCTAATAAGCTATGTGTACGGGTTAATTTAATATCCTCTCTAGAATTTCACACTGCCAACAGTTGCTGCAGATGGCAGTCATCTAATAATGGCTTTAAACATTCTAAAGCATTGTATCTATTCACGAATCTTGTATCAGAAAAATAGGTAATGTATTATTGCTTCTGGAAACATATTTTCTTAAAAGATGGATGCAGCGATATCTCATCATTAAATTAAAGTAACCAGATGAAACTGAATTAAATTGAAGTTGATGATTATGCTATCCATTTAAATCTTTTTATTTGAATTACATTAATTTGTTTTAGATTATTTACCGTATTTGATGGATTATTCAATACTTAATTACTTCCTCAATATGCAAAGTTTTGGAAAGTACATTTGAGTAAATATATCACAAACTTGATTACACTTTTTTGTTCTGGTTTCAGATATTTAAATTTATGAATATTTTTATACCGGCTCATGAAAGGGCTAATATTTCATGTAAGTAATATGCCCATAATATCATTTTATGACAATAAATGCATGTTATGTTTGAAATCAAAATTTTATTGTGTAAGCTAAATATAAGTCCCAAACTTATAAATAGCTTATTAAATTGCCCAGCCCTTCTTTAGACTTCATACTTCAGTCCACCAGAAGGGTCTTGCTCACAGTATGTTGTCCAGATGCCAAGTCAAGGTCTAGTACTTTTCCATCAATCTCTAGGTGCCATGTCTAGTGAATATTACCTACATCTCAATTACCTACGGTACTGCTGATTTAATTTTAGTAGGTATATAATTATATTTTTATTCTTTTAATTTTTATATAATTAAAATTTTTACTGGCTAAGCATGACAGTAATTTTTATTTTTGCAGATTTTCCTTTTGGAAATTATATTTTAATAACAGTTTTGGAACTTCATAATTATCAAGCTCCAGTTTGTGCTGCATAGCATAATTATATATATCATACAGACATTTAGCAAGAAATGTGAACATCCCAAGAAACGTGGTCATTTTAATCTGATCTCCCTTTAAATGGATACATTTTGATCTGAAACTTGACAATATAATTGAAGCAGCTATTGAAGATATTCCTTCACAATGACAACCACCGACAACAGCGGCTCCACTGTGAACAAGCAGTGGGAGCTGTCATTGTACGAGTTGCATCGCACGCCTCAAGAGGCCATCACTGACCACACTGAGATCGCCGTGTCTCCTCGTTCTCTGCACTCTGAACTCATGTGTCCCATCTGCCTGGATATGCTCAAGAATACAATGACCACTAAAGAATGTTTACACAGGTTTTGTCAGGTCAGTTGTGTATCACTAAGCTTCACTTAGCCATATGATATGAGCAGAGAGAAAGAACATAATCATACTGAATATTTCTTGAAACTTATTCTTACCATGGAGCTTTGTAAGGGTTTTATTTTGGCATAAATTTTGCATTGATCCTTTTTAATTTAATATTTAATCTTTTGAAATAAAGAAATATATTTTCATCGATTTTGAAGTTCACTGTTTTAGGACAATCAGTTTCTTAATCCTTCTTGTTAACTCTTCTTGAACTTCTGAATTTTGGAATGAATTTTTATGCGATATCAAAATTTAACAAAACACAAAAGAAAAAATTAAATTAAAATTGTTGTATGAATCTTTATTGAAATTAAAAATGAAAAAATTCAAATAAATCCCATTTTGAAAGATCAAATAAGAGCTGAAGTAACAAAACAACAAGGAAATGTATGTCTTCAATCTAACACCAGCTCTATGCTAAACGATCAAATTGTGATACATATAACTGACATGAGTAATTTGTTTGTTATTTCTAACAAAACCAAATATCCGTAAAAATCAGCTACATTCTTTCCGATAACTTAATTTCTGCTGCATCGCATGAGACCCAACAAAATAACTGCAAGGGAAAGCTAACAAAACAATCTTGTTAAGCTATGCTAAAAATACACTAAGACACTCTTGTTTGTCTTTGTTTCTGTTACTTTTTACCTGTCCCTCCTTGTCATTTCATCTCTTTGAGATGCTAACTCTGCTGCTTTAGAGCCAGCTTCAGCGGGCTGGACACGAGACCTTCCACCCCATGTGGGTGATAATTAATTTGAGATATTTTGAATACTGGCTACTTTTTGCCTTGCTTGCAATGTTATCTTTTGACTTCTGCTCAAAATAGCTTGACAACAGTAGTGCTAACAAACCATTCTACTGATACTATACTACTTATATTTATTCAAACAAGATTTGATACTTGAACTTGAGGCCAAGCAATTCTGTTATCTTAGGTTAGGTTTGTTTTTTGATGAAGAATGAAAAATATCAATACCCTGTATGATTTTGCAGGACTGCATCATCACTGCACTACGATCCGGCAACAAGGAGTGCCCGACATGCCGTAAGAAGCTCGTATCCAAGCGCTCACTTCGTCCTGACCCCAACTTCGATACTCTCATCTCAAAAATCTACCCAAGCCGTGATGAGTACGAGCAACACCAAGAGCGCGTCATGGCCAGACTCAACAGGAACCACAACCATGCATCTCTTGTGAGCTCCATAGAGGAGGGCATCAAGCTGCAGAGCCAGAACCGTCAAAAGCCCCGCCACAAAGGGCCAGGAGGGGAGGAGCTGCCAGGACTGGGGGCTGGCATGAACAGCCTGGCTATCTCCAACACGCCCATCAGCACCTCAGCTCAACACTCCACTGCTCAGGTCAGAAATGCTCTCTGTGTGTATCTAATACTCAAGTCTCGCACATTATTGAGAAATACTGGGCAATCAGAAGTAATGCTGTTTGCAATTGACGTTAAATTAAAGATGAAACAATTATATAGATCGCCTTAAAATGCATGTACTAATTAAAACGTCCTATTTTTTCTGTTTTCATCATGATTCACTCCTAAGAGCCAAGGTTTCTGCATGACAGGTTTTGTCCAGCGTGCCTGCAGCTGCTGTCTCCCCTTCCTCCCCTCCGCCTTCCGAGGGTGTGAGCCCCAGCGGCGCCCCCACTGCCGGACCAAAAGTGAAGCGCCCCCGCGTCGCTCCCCCACCAGCGCCCCTGACTTCTGAGAATGAGTCTGCGGGCGGCTCCAGTGTGGAGGGCGGCACTCTGGGTGATGAAGGAGATGCAGGTTAGTGTCTTGATTTAGGGCGTATTGCAGGACACCTGAACCTCCCTTAGGGTACGCACACAGTGAAAGCAGGTTGCCAGCGTGCTGGTTACCTGCTCAGGCTGGCGCCTGAAACCATAGAATACAGAAGCCTGTTCGTACAGGTTTTCACTGTGAACACTTACATTATTATCCTATGTTCATTCTTGTGGCAAGTTGGAGCAGGTTGCCCAGGCGGGCAAACCTGCTTCCACTGTGTGCGTGCCCTTACACCTGAACCACCCTTACACCTGAACCTCCCTTACTCCAGAACCACCCTTACATCTGAACCTCCCTTACTCCTGAACCACCCTTACACCTGAACCTCCCTTACACCTGAACCACCCTTACACCTGAACCTCCCTTACTCCTGAACCTCCCTTACACCTGAACCTCCCTTACTCCTGAACCTCCCTTA